GAAAAAATAAGAGAATGGTCCACGCTAAAACCTACACAGCTCATTCGCAAGACGCTATTTTTAACGACTCATCTGAGAAAGCTGACAGCTGAGAGTTCAGATACTTCTGAACGAGTTTGGAGCCAGGCATGACAGCCATATAAAAGTCTCTATCTGTCGAGGCTATTTAAGAACTATGGTAGACGCTAAGCGATCAATTTTTGCCATATTAAAACAATGAAAGTGAATTCATGTTGTTATCGTTAGTATTAGGATTTTTGAAACACACATAAGGGAAGAGGGCTGAATATCAGAATATATATATATATATATATATATATATATATATATGTATATATAAAACACACACACACACACATATATATATATATATATATATATATATATATCAGAATCAGTTGAATATCAGTGTGGACATAGAAATAAACACTTCATGTTGACTGTGGGTTTCACACCTAAATACAATCTTCAGGCCATAAACACGTACATGTATATATATCTGTCTTTTCCCCGTCTCTGCGCACATGCACACACACACACATATACATACATATATATATATATATATATATATATATATATATATATATATATATATATATATATGTATATACACACACACACACACACACACACACACACACACACACACACATATATATATATATATATATATATATATATATATATATATATATATATATATATATATATATATAAATGGACTGATACCAAAAATGCGAAGCATCCCAGAGACAAGTAGACCCAAGATATCTGGATTAGCATTGAGGTGAGTTATTTTAGATACTTTCTCCTAGACCAGTTGACAATGAAGGCTGAAGTACCAAGTTATTTAACCATAGCATTTATGCTTACATACCGACCTACCTACAATATATAATAGTAAATAAAAGATATGTCTTTCAACAAAAGGGTCATGAGTTCTAATCACACCAAGAACAACTGCTTTATATCTGATTCTGCGGTGTCATATTTAAAGATTGATCAGTGAAAGTTGACACTTTAGATATATCTGAACGAGTTTGTTGCCATGCTGGACATCCATATAAATGTCTCTCTCTCTCTCTCTCTCTCTATATATATATATATATATATATATATATATATATATATATATATATGAAGAACAATAGTTTTAAGGTGTGCTATATTTATGGGATAAAGTGCTCAATATCAGAGATTAAGCGTATGTAAATATAAATATAAAAGTGGACGCAATCGTCAGGCCGCCTGACGATTGCGACCAGCATGAAACTGAGTGTTGACTTCAATGTTCACTTATATATATATATATATATATATATATATATATATATATCAATCTTGTTGGTTGTAGGGTAAAGTAATTTAATAAATTGTGTATTTGGGAAGGAAATACACAATATATATATATATATATATATATATATATATATATATATATATATATATATATATACAGGATGCGAGTGGAAAATTCTGGCCATTTTATATTTTTAATTTCGGGCATGCGCGTTGATTTTTTGCACAGTATATTAGTGTGTTTTGGGCGCCGTCTGTGAGAAAATGAGCACCATGACGCAATTCACTCCGCCAGAAATTTGCAAACAACATTCTTTACTGTTTGGAATTTGCACCGGAAGCTTCAACACGAACATTTCAGTGTTTGGGTGTCAATCTGAGTACAGTGTTGAGGATTCGGAAAGAGTTGGATGAGTCTAATGGTGATTACGAAGGTGTTTGGAGTTATCACTAGTAATGGCGACGTTATTCACTAACTTAAACAAGGAGACCAGAAGAGTTACAGAAAATCTCGAAGTGGTCTTTTCATTTTTGTGTAATTTAGAAGACAATTTATTCATCACATGCTATATATATATATATATATATATATATATATATATATATATATATATATATATATATTAATTCTACGACATTTTCTTCTTATTCTTTTTCATTAATATATATATATATATATATATTGATGTTACGGAATTAACGTTCTGAGTAAATTTACGATAAAAAGCAATGAAAAAATATAGTTAACATTAATAATAATTAATCGCTGAAGTTGGATTTCACACCCAGTTAGTCGATTAATTATTATTTGTAATACCCTAATAATATCATACTGAGTTATTGATATCGATGTGTCAAGAAGCTAACATAGTGATAAAATATATGTAGAAATAGAGAATATATATATATATATATATATATATATATATATATATATATATATATATATATCTGTTCTGGCATCTATTTACTCAAGCTCGTTAGGTCGGCTATGATTAATTTCCTTCCTGTGAGTATCACATTTTCCAAGCCCACTTTTCTCATTATTTGCTCTAGAAATCTCTTCTGATGTTCAGAATCGTTCTTTATTTAATTTTCTTTAAAACTTTGTCGTTGCACGTTCAGTCCATAGTATTCTCAGCATCCTTCTGTAGAACCACTTTTTTGTTACTACAAGTCTTTTCTTCATGTGTAACGATATTGTTCAGCATTCACTACTATATAAGAGGACTGATATTACATAACAGTTCAGTACTCTTTTCTTTGTTTCTAACGAAATTTCTTAATACTCTGCTTAGCTTTTGGAAAGCATCTTTCGCTATCCCAATTCGCCTTCGGATTTCGGTGTCGCACTTTTTGTCCTCTGTTAAAAAACTTCCCAGAGAGTTAAATGGTTATACTTGCTTGGTTTTTGTATACCTGGGTTTTAATTTGTATTTTGGACTGTTACTCAAGCCTAAAAAATAAACAGTCTGCCCGTTAGTATACCCACAACTGGATGGTGGAGAGGAGGATTCTTAGACTTTTTAAAGAACTTTAGTGAGAAGTAAAGGCAACAGAACTGGCCACAATTGAAGTTGTAATTGGAATTACTGAAATAATTCTCAAATGTTTTCGCAAAGATAGCGAGTAACTTTGGAGAAAATATGCGCCAATTACAGAACAATGTGACGTTAGATGTTGTTAAAGTTTATATATCGTGTAAAAATAAGCGCAAATGTTAAAATAGAAATTAGATCATTAAATGTCTAGTTCTAGGATATCCGTTTCATCATTGCACTAAAGTGTCAGGGCTAATCCCTGATGTCTGGGGCATGCTGAAGTCAAGGACGAGAAAACTAGACAATTCTTGTATTCTACTTACGAACCGAGTATTGTGCTGTAGTGCGTGAGGACCGATACTAAAAAAAATACATTTTTTTAATCGAGTTCGCTCCATGCAAGGCAGTAAAGCCACTAAGACACAAAAGCTTACTGGGTGTGGACAATTAGAAAGCAGAAACATTACTAAGGAGCGAGAACATCAGGAGAACAGTAGATAGCAGTTGACATGGCGTTTTTAATAATATTTTGAAGATTAAAGTTGACTGGGAATCAAGAAGCCGAAAGGGAATTCCACAAGTGAGAAGTGCGAGAAAAGAAACTGCTAGCATAGAACTTACAGTTACATCAACTCAACTGTAAATTGATGAGACCTTGTTGTCAGTCTAATACTGCGCTTGAATTAACAAAGTCTAGGTGCCATAGCAAAGAGCTCACCCGAACAATTACCATAAAAGTATTTATGGAAAAGACACAGGGTAGGAATTTTAGGCCAGTAGGAAAGTGACTGAAGCAGAGACGCCAGAACAAGTCCAATGATATTCCTGATTCTTCTTTGGATTTTATCAAGGAATTCTAGATAAATAAAAGGAGCACCTGACCATATGTCGCAGCAATATTCTATAGACTTATAAATATGTAAGATTGATTCTGGAGAGTAAAATTGTCTAGAACGACACAGTGAACCAACTTTCTTAGCAGCTGACTTAGCAATGGATCAAGGATAATCTTTTCACTTCATGTCATAATTTTACTATAAACATGTATTGTTACTAATTTTACTATAAACATTTATTGTTAGTAATTTTACTATAAACATGTATTGTTGGTAATTTTGCTTTAAATATATATTGCTGAAGATTTTCCTAGAAACATTTATTGTTGGTAATCTTTTATATAAAATGCACTGCTGGTATTTTTATTCTAAATTGTACTTTTTAAATACTTTTATAATGTTTTGTTTCTACTTGTGGGTTCACTATTTATCCATAGCTGGGACACTAATGGGTGCTACCAATCGGGTCAGGTTGGACCTGGGAACAACAGCAATTAAGAGTGGGTTAGTGACGTTAGCATGATATTTTTAAAAATCTGATAGTATGAAAAATGTTATTTATCTTCTAATCCAGGTGTTGCCAACCGGTCTTAAAATCTGTTCGTAAGGATGTTCTGTCTTCACATCATGTTTGCTCAGCTATTTACTTTTTTAAATGTCAGTGTAACACTGACTGTATGGGTAGTATTGTGCAGATATTAGAAATGAGAATAAGTCAACATGTGCCGGCTAGTATTCATAAAGGGCAATTCAATAATTTGCATAGGTGCGTCAATACATCCGGGTCTGCGATAGCTGAACTTCTGTTACATAACCGTCAGTATACTGTATCCTATCATAAAGATATGGTTTTAGTTCTGATTTTGGCAAATTCGAACTTTCACTTGAAAGTATTGGAGACAATATATATTAAGTCTTTACAGCCTTTTTTTTTAACAGAATGAATGACTTTTAGGTTTGAATGTAATTTATTTGTGATCTGAATTATATATATTTTCATATTAAAATTATATACAAACCGTTTCAATTTAAAATGGCCATTAATCTATTTTCTGTGAGTTGTATCATTACATAATCGAGCCGAAAATTTGAAAAAGATAATCGTCTTAGTAAACATTTTTATATATCACAATTCAAAATGCTGTTGCAATATATTAATAAATAAAAATTGAAACGCTCATTTTAATATGAAATTTACAATGTTTCCATCTATAATTTTTAGAGTGAAGAAAAGAATATTTGTTTTCCAGTTGTGAATTTCAACCAAAAAACATTAATCATGCATAAAAAAACGAGAGAGACAAAAATTTCTTGTACCCACCTGGAATGCGCCGAGTTGCTTCTATTAACCGACATAAGTTTTCCTTACCCGCCACTAGTGGTAATAATTCAGGAATATTGTTCACCTGCAGGTGAGAATAGAGAAATTATTTATTCTGAAAATGTATTATTTCCAAAATTTCAACTGAAATATACAATATGAACACATGCAATTTGTATTCAATAAATAAAACATGCAAACACATTAAATTTTGATAAAGTTTTTGTCATGCTAATATTGTCTGTTGTATTTTGCTTTTCTGCACATTTTTGTCAACATTCGAGCAGGAAGTTAAGACGGGCTCGTCATAAAAGTACAACGCATGCGCAGAGAGGAAGAAATTTTTTCACTCAAATCTTGTTTTAATTTGTAATTTTTAATCGGAAATCTATTCTATAATATAAAATACAATGTGAATTGATCACAATTGAATTATTACCAGACCAGATATATTTATACGCTACAAAGTTGACTCCAAGTTCTTATGATCTTAAAATACGTTAAATCCTAGTAATTTGTACGTATTTTGATAGGTTTTATTAATTTGTATTATATATATATATATATATATATATATATATATATATATATATATATAATTATTTATTTAAAAATATGATTACAACACGCTACATAAGAGTTCTCATGCTTATGTAGCGTTTTGGAATCATATTTTAAATAAATAATTATATTTATGCTCTACTTTTTGTATCGAGCACTATTTTTAAAAAATAATAACAAAAATACTAAAGAACTTTGGATTATTTACCTAACCTGTTCTTTCCTATTTTCTATATATTTTCACTCACACACACACACACACACACACACACACACACACACACACACACACATATATATATATATGTCACTCGGACATGTTCGCTTTCTGTCCATGAGACCCGGGTTCGAATCTCACCACGGTTGATTTGTCAGGAAGTAGACTTCTTGATGTTATCGGTCTGGAGGGGAGCGATCCCAACGTGGGGCACCTTTGGAAAGTGCCTGGAAACCATGCCACGGGTTGATCCAAGACTTGTGAGTGAAATTGGCTAGACGGAACACTTGGGCCGTCGATAGCTGTGCTATATGGGCACGAAGTCACAAGTCATCGTGACCGAAGATTTGAGTGTGCTGGCCCTGTTCAGATTGTTTGATCACGCTAGATAACACGCTCTCTCACAGAAACTGTAACTAAGGTCTGCACAATATAGTTGCAGTATAAACCATAGGTGGGTTCTCTGGGTGTTGAATAAGCGAAAGTCTGCAATAGGGATTGGCTAGCCGCCGTAAAAGATGGGTATCCTCGAATACGAGTGGCCAGCTATTATTTATATGTGTGTGTGTATGTGTGTGTTTTGTGTGTGTGTTTGTGGGTATGTACGAAAGATTCCATATAATCTCCTTGATTATATTCACACACACACACACACACACACACACACACACACACACACACACACACACACATCTATACCTTCAGACAGATCAGGCGGAACGATTATTTTTTAGAGAAAAAATCTGCCTGGGCAACCTTATATATATATATATATATATATATATATATATATATATATATATATATATATTATATATATATATATTATATATATATATATATATATATATATATATATATATATATATATATATATATACATATACCTATTCCGACCATCTCATCAAATGAAATGCTTTGTTCTAGATTACTTGCAGCCTAAAGTAAGATGTGGTAGGAAATTTCCTTAATATTTGATGAAAGGCGTTGGTTGAAATAAAGATGTTCCGGGTGAATTTTTTCTCTCAAAAAGAATAATCATCTCGGGTTTTGACACTCAAAGATACATGTGTGTTAAAACATAATTAAGGTAACGTGTACAGAATCACTGCTTCCTGTGTGTGCCTCTCTCTGTCTCCTTTACGTTAAGCCATAAGTAATTTCCGTTTTAGGGGATCAGTAGTAACGACGTATGCGTTATCCTAGCAATACGTATCAGTTAAGAATAAATTTACTATGCACTAATTTATCTTAGGTTTTGTACGGCAGGGGTAGCATACACCGTGGATTAAAAAAAAAAAAAGTTGTTTTCCTCCATGAAAGGCCAAAGCAGCATGCAGCAAGATTAACACAGGAAAACATTTTAAAACTCTGTCAGTCTGTTCTGCCTTATTTACTTGACCTTACACGAAGTGATTTTTACGTTTTTTCATAGCTACACAACGATTTTTTTTATACTAATGTTCACCTAATACAAGGCCCAAGGGTCACTCAAGGAAGAGGGTTACTGCGTGGATTATATTAGCGTAAGAAAGGGTAAGATAACAGGAAAGACAGTTAATTGTAGAACTGAAAAGGTCAAGATTTAATTAGCGAATAAAATTTCAGATGTAGACGTTAGAAGTGTAGAGATGGAGTAGACTTTAGAAGTGACTGAAAACCGAATCCTAAACAGAAAACAAGGGATGAACCTTTGAGGGGAAAACATTCTCCAATGAAACCCTGATTCAAGAGTTCGTCCAGAAAGCTTTTTCATATCAAAACCCGTGGAATTTTACACAAAAGGGTAATGAAGTGCTGTTTGATAACTGGCATTTTATTTATTTTTTCAAGAATGAAGTTGATAAGCAAAAACAGGAATTATTTATGACTTAACCTAATATCTATCTATCTATCTATCTATCTATCTATCTATCTATCTATGTGTGTGACTGACTTACGTAAAGTAGTATACACTCAACTACTTCATGGGAAATTTCTGTAGCTACTTATAGTCTTTGTGGCTTCATATATAAGTGTCAGCTCATCTCCCTGTACCAAATAGGTTTTATCCCCCTGTTACTTCTTCTGGGAGCTTTTGTCTCCTCACTTTCTTCCGCCTCTCCCTGAGATTCTCTAGGTATGGGAGATCTTGATCTTCTTTTTTCATAGGAGCATGCCTCCAACGATTGTCTTTGTTCATCTCCAGAGTCTATATGACTCACGATTTCTCTGACTAGTTTGTCTTGCCTTGACGTGACACTTTAGACTTCATTATTTTATATTGAGGAATCGGAGAGCCGAGTTCGAATTCCAGTCAAATCCATTACATTCACTTATGTGCTAATACCCTTGGGAAAGGTGTGAATCCACTTCTCCCTCCAGCTATGGGTAAATAGCAGGACAGACTGGGTTCTATAGTCTTGGATGGCAACTGGAGAAGGACAACTCTGAATTCAAAACCTGCGGAGAGCCTTTTGGGATCCTGTGGTACGTAATGCACCAGGTCTCTGTATTCGGCCCTTCAAAAAGTGTGGATGGTCCTGCACGAAACCTTCACCATTATAATCAAATCTCATGTGCTGTTGTCGAGCTGTCGGTTTCCTGGGAGCTAATCTGCTTGACCTCACACATCGAATTCGACGAGAGAGTCGAGTATATATATATATATATATATATATATATATATATATATATATATATATATATATATAAGTAACGAAAATATATAATGTATATATTTAAGTAATGAATATCTTGGTAATCCCTCTCTAATTTCGACCATGCCTCTCAAACTATCCCTTAATATAAGCTTAATATTGCCCTTGAAAAGTGTAAATTTCAAATTCATTTTTCTCCTTTGAAAGTGAAGTCTGAAGATCCAGAGAAAAACAAAAATCTCTGGTGAAATAAATTATAACGATGGAATCTTACAGTGGTCTATTTTTTTTATTTAGATTAAATTATATATATATATATATATATATATATATATATATATATATATCCGAATGTAATGAGAACGAACCCGGAGTGGAGCCCCTAAGGCGGATGGACGGTACTTTGTGCTACCTTCCGGCAACTCCTGCAACCGCGCAGGTACCAAACGGTATTGGTTTATCCTCTCCTTTGGACTCTGCTAGCAAGGCCGAGAGGGGGGAAACTAAACGTCTTGACAGCCCTAGTTCTCCATCGTCTCTCGAGACGGACGGATGACGACGACGACGACGACTTTCAGGCCCGCTATAAATTTCCCCATCACTATCGTGTTGCAATCGAACTTGCTCTCTATCCAGTTTGCATTATTACTAGATTCACATTTCTTTTTATACCTTAGTTTTTCGTTGGTAGCATAAGACATGATCATTGGGGCTCTAATTTGTCTACATAAGTGGGCGAAGGAGACTTTTGATCTTGTATTGTCCTCTAACTTAGCTACAACAAGAAATGATTCTATCTTTTCTTTCCGTTGTACACATATTTCCAATCCGTTTCTTTTATAGTTTGTATCATCCTTTCTGCTAATCCATTTCATTGCGAATGGTACGGGGGTGGGGGTGAGTTATATGGTTTGCATCCAGATTTATTCAACTGTTGGCATAGTTCCTCATCACGGAACACTGGTACGTTGTCAGATACTAACGTTTTTGAAATTCTATTTCTTGAAAATGTGATCCTTAACGTTTGTTTCACAGTCGAGTTTCTTTTGTTGGAAACCTGTATTATTTCTGGCCATCCTGAATACGAATCTACCAGTATTAGTAATAATCCTACTCCATTAACATAGACATGATCCATGTGTATTCTGTCCCAAGGTTGGAGCTCTTTAGGCCATGTATGTGTTTTTGTCTGTCTAAATTTTCTTCCGTCATTGCACATTTTACACCTTTTTATGTATTTTCTACATCTGTAGAATAGCCTGGCCACCATGCCTCTAGCCTTAATCTTTTTTGCGTAGACGTTATTCTGCAATGAACATCGTCATGTACACTTTTTATAATTTTGCTCCTTTGCGTTACTGGCGGAACCACTACGTCTCCATTACAAATACATACTTTTCTACGGTTAACATGCGTTTAACTTCTTTAAAACGCCTTTCTGTCCGTGAGCAATTATTCCACTTATTGTTTTTTATCCTGAATAAAATACTGTTCAATATGGGATTTCTTTATCACCTTCAGAAATAATAAACCTCAATCTTGACAAAGCGTCTACATGCGGAATGTTATTGCCTTTTATGGACTCAATATCAAAGTCAAACGCAACTAACATTAAGATTCACTTGCATCATTTGTTACTACTATTACCTTTCTAGGTTTGAATATTTTTTTTACTACTGGCTTCTTTGCCAGAACAGCTTTTAAATTTTCAAATGTCGCATGTTCTTTGTCCAAATAAATTCCATATTCCTTTTGCTTAAAGCAGCGAAAGGTTCTGTCAATTTGGAGTATCACTCTAGATATTGTCTATAGAAATTTACAAGTCCTAAGAAAGATTTCAAATCTTTTTTAAGGTGCTTCAACTTTTAATATTTTACCAATTAACGACCAATCTGGTTTTATGCCTTCATTATAGATGGAATATTCCAAAAATGATACTTTTTAGTGTTGTACACAATTTTTTTTCGTTAATTGCTACTCCGACTTATTCAAGACTATACTGGTTTTCCATTTTAATGTTTCGTCGTTAATAGCACCAACACAAATGTCATCCTGGTAACATATTTTATATTTTATATCGCTACAAATGATTTACTCTTTAGTCCTATCGTATGTGCTGTTTTAATTCCATACGGCATTCTTTTTCCCTTTTATAAGCCTATTGGCGTGTTTATAGTTGTGACTTCTTTAAAGTCTTCATCAATAGGTATTTGATGATATACCGACTTTAAATCAATTTTAGAGAATGTTTTCATACATGCAAGGAAGTTCAAAACCTATTTCCCATTGGAGATAGCATACGAGTCTGATCATATTTTGTGGTTTACACTTATTTTGCAGTCACCACAAATGCGCAGATCCCCATCCTTCTTTCTTAAAATTACTAATGAGAATCACCATTTGCTCCAACCTGGCGGAACGCGTTCAAGTAGATCTTGTTCCAGTAATCTTTTTAGTTTTTCCACAATTATTGGACTGGCACTTTTCGTGCTTGAAAATATGAGATGGAGACATTTTCCTTTAGTCTTATCTTTGCTTCATAGTTTCTTAACATTCCAGTTTCTTCTGCCTTGACTTTGTTGACTAATTTTGCCGAATTTATGTTCAATAGATCATTTCCTATTAGACTCTGATTTTTTTTCACAGATTGCCACGATAACTGGTAATACATCGGATTTATTTTTTGGTTCCACGTGGGCTTTAAGATAACCTAAATTTATTATCACGGGTTCGTCGAACTGATTCAATTGGATAAGGATTTTCCTTAATCTTGGTTTTCCTAATTTCTTCCAGAAATTTCTGGGTATCACTTCACTTTCTCTATCTAGTTGCATGTCCAATAAAACATTATTGATTCGAATTTTAATAATCATTTTCATTTTTTTTCAATGAAAAGACGCCCATGCTTATTTCTCTTTATTTTGTTGGACCGTCTCTACGTTTTTCTTTTTGGATTTATACATACGTTTAAAATGATTAATTTTGAAACACTTTTCACATTTTTTTATATGCTAGACATTTTTGGTTTTCACTTTAGCTTTTGGAATGGTGATATATTATTTGCTTCCAAGCTCTTACAATATATCACCATCCTCAATAGATTGTATATTGTCACAGTGTGAGATAGTCAGGGAAAATTCAAAAATATTCTTTAAAAAAAATTGAAACAACCAGCATCTCTCGTTTCGTGCGCATGTGTAGATGTGGCAATATCGACAAAGCCCTGTCTAATGAAATCTTAATGGATGAAACGAGTCACAAGAAAATTTTGAGTTTGTCATATTTTATATATATATATATATATATATATATATATATATATATTCTCGGAATTAATCCATTTCATAATATATATATATATATATATATATATATATATATATATATATATATATATATATATATATATATATCAATCTTCTATCTATCTATCTATCTATCTATCTATCTATCTATCTATCTATCTATGTCTTTCGTCTATTTGTTACTTAAAAGGACACACTATAACGTCAAGGAAAGGATTAAAATCTGAATGCCCCCAGAATGATTATTTATCACAGATATTTGGTTCCGTTTCTGGCCATTTACAGTATTTGCAAAAAGCGACTGAAGCAAAGAAAAATCTACCAAGTTAGATTTATTGACTAGGCGTAGTTACCTTTTGGAAAGAATGAAGTTTGGATGTATCCATGTTCTGCAGACATCCTGAGCCAAACGAGAAACACAGGAACAAAGTCCAGTTACCGAAGCGCAGGTATTTCTGTAATGTATCATTGTCCTTGGTAATTTCTGAAAAGCACAAAACAAAGGAAGGTTATTCGATGAAATTCATTAACTCTTGAGACAATCTGCTACTTTAAACATCGTATCACAGCATGTATAACGCCGTGATAGAATGCAGTCCTAAATTTACGTTTGCGGCCAAACTGAACCGAAATCTTTAATTATAGTTATTTAAAATGTAAACGAGTCTACCAAAAAACAAAGAAAAAAGAACAAAACAACTTTCTAATAGCTGGGACCCTAACAGATGCTACCACCCCAGGTTCGGGTGGATCGGGGAACAATCGCAATTAAGAGGTGGTTCCACGCCCCTCATATCCTCTCGATCAGATGCATTGCCACCAGATGTAGTTTATCGTAATACCCAAGACGTCCTGGCTTTAAATAACCTGCATAGGGTTGATAATCCGTAGAAAACGAATCAATCAATTTACTATCCAGTGCATGGTAGAAGTAAATAATTAATCAACGCTTTGATCCACTTTCCCCTGCGACAAAAACATGAAGAATGTCGGAGAACACAACGACCGAAACGTTATGATAATAACAACAAAGATGAGGATATTAGATAATGTAGATAATGCAAATAATCTATTAGTTTAGTTAAAATGGCATATTTTGAAATTACTGCAAATTCAATAAATCACAACGTTAAGAATGTCTGAAAAGAAAATCTTCTTTTATATGCCGTGTCCCTTCAGGACGTAGGCGATCATGGCTCTCCCCTTCCCCGTATCCCTTGTAACTCTCAATGCGTTTTCTCCCTTTGATACTTCTCTCAGGCCATGTTCTGTCATTAAGCCTGACAGGTATGTCATGCATTGCTTTCCCTAATCTCTCTTTCCCTCTATCCGACATGTGACTATCAAATTCTCCAAGCCCTCCTTTCTCATTACGTGTCCCAGAAACTTCAGCGTCCTCTTCCGGATGTTAATTATAAGCTTCCTCCTTGTTTGCATCCTCTCCAAAACCTCATCGTTGCTCACACGCTCGGTCCATGATATCCTCAGTATCCTTCTGTAGAACCATACCTCCGTTGCCACGCGTCTTTTCTTCAGCTTCGAGGAGACAGTTCAACATTCGCTGCCGTAAAGGAGGGCAGATATCACGTAGCAGCTCCGTACGCTTTTCTTTCTTATCAAAGAATTCCTCCTGTCTCATAATACTCTGCCCAGCTTTTGGAATGCGTCCTTGGCCATCCCAGTACAACTACGGATCCCATTATCGTACTTGACGTCCTCTGGCAGAACATTTCCCAGATATATATAAATTTCCGCACCTGCTTGATTTTACTGTCCCCGACCCGTAAATCGTATTTTCGGGCTCATCTTTGACCATGCATTCTGTCTTATAGTTTATTCTTAGTCCCTTCTCGTTCTCCTTCGCTACCTTCTGTATGGAATTTTCTAATCACAGATCAAAGAACTGTTTTAAATAGGTCTCACCAAAAGCAATACATTTTTACAAAATGAAAGCAAAAAACCGCTAACCTTTGTTTTAAAAATTATCAAAAATCAAGGAATTATCCAATTTTAATTAATTTTTCAACACGTGTTCATTTATAAATGAGTTGTGTACGAAATGTATTATTTTATTAAAAATCTTTGTCAAAGTCATTTATTTTACATTTTTAAATATTTTTCTCTTTTGATAGATTACCTTTATACCTTTTTTATTAATTCACACCAAGTAATACAATAATCTATTATATATATATATATATATGTGTGTGTGTGTGTGTGTTATACATACACACACACGTACACATATATCTATATCTATATATATAGTCATCCACAGACAGACTGTTTCGCTGTTTCACAGCTCATCAGTGTGGCTAGACATCCGATCGCTTTAAGTCGGGGCCGAAACCCGACTGATTTGGCATCAATCGGAGATTCTAATCCTTAGGCTATCGACGCTCGGGGAAATTTTTAAGTATTTTTTTTTTCATAAACACGCCAGTGACTTAGAGAACTCAATCCAGCTTGGAGGGTCTTGCATTATCACTAATAATAGTGACTGTTTACAAATACGCGCTTCTTTCTCTCTCTCTCTCTCTCTATCTATCTATCTATCTATATACATATGATAAAATATAGTTTTAAGGTGTGATATATTTATGGGTTAAAGTGTTCAATATCAGAGAAAGACCGTATGTAAATATAAAAGAAGACATTTAAAACCCAGAGACGACAATCTGTTTCATGGTAAACGTAATCATTGGGCCATGTACACATGGTCTGATGATTGCGCTTAGCATGAAAACAAAAACTTTCGTCTCTGGGTGTTGACTTCAGTGTCCACTTGTCTCACTCTCTGTGTATATATATATATATATATATATATATATATATATATATTCATTCAAGCTCTCTGTATATATATATATATATATATATATATATATATATATATATATATTCAAGCATGTTTCATTGAATAATATAGACATATTATGTCTATTTATTTTTATAATAATTCTTTCTAGTATTCTAATTGTCTTCTTGATGTTAAGTTGAAACTCATTAAGGAAGGCCCATAGTTCTTGTTAACACAAGTACTTTCGATCTTCTCCGAGATAATCCTCAGGGTTGAACTGCGAAGATAAACTTAATGTAACTGTGATCGTTGTGATGATAATTGTTGTAAAATGAACGTGTGAACGCGTTCTGTTATGATTATTTAAAAATTAATCGTTGTAGAAACGATGTTTTTTTTTTTTTTTGCAAACAAGAGTCCTCAATGAAAGGGAGATCGCCAGCGATGTAAAAAATGCAACATTGCGTTAGATTTTAGTCAACTCAAATGCATTTTAAAACAATGCTACTACACTCGAAATAAATTTTGTTCAGTGTTGTGTGGTTGGTTTTGCTTTAGGGCATCATGAATATGTTTTGCTTATTATTTTCATGGCATAGTATATTGGTGATGTCAGCAAGTATTTTTCTGTATTGTGAATGTGGACAGAAATGAGACTTTATATATATATATATATATATATATATATATATATATATATATATTGAACAATAAAAAACATTAAAAAATTAAAATCTTCAGACACACTGGGTTGTAGATTAATATTCTTTTATTTTTATTATTATTTCATTTAGATTCCACGACTAGTTTCGGCGAAATGGCCATCATCAGGAGAAGAAATATTTCTGCTTGCTGGTAGCAGTAAACTACAGAAATGAATGTCCTGATGGAGAAAATGAACTTTTGTCTGTAGTTTTTATTTGTTTTTTTAAATTTTTTATCTTTTTAACATGAATCTTTTAACATTCCTTGTGTTGGTCAAACAGTCTCTTTTAAGTTGTTATTTGAGTAAGAGCTAGATGGATCCATGCTGCTCTGAATTCTCTTGGTCAGTTTGACAATTTTATTGGTTCCTGGAGAGGGGATGTGTCTCTGTTAAGTGTCTGCGTGTGTGTGTTATTTGGTTCTTAGGGGAGTGAGTGAGCATGATATGTGTAAGCGTTATTGGAACACCCTGTATATATATATATATATATATATATATATATATATATATATATATATATATATATATACACACTTTTGGGCATAGACCTTTCCCGATTCTCTAAATATACATCACTGCTCATTTTCTTATTGTAACGTAAACGATTTTTAGGATTGGATTTTTCATTTACTAATCCGACATATTTTTATTTAATTGTTTAAACGTTATTTTTAACGGATACCATATTTAAATATATGATTTATTTGGATTTATTAAACAATATATTTATGTATTTCCATCTACCGGCCTTAATATTCGAAAAATCTTATTAGAATAATATGCGTTATCCGACAGCATTGGAAACTGCGTTGCCTTCGGGGTAATCGTCATTAGATCTGGCGCGCTTTAACCTCTCGGCTAGAGAGTACCTAATGACCAAAGAAATTGAGCATATATATATATATATATATATATATATATATATATATATATATATATATATATATATATATATGCTCAATTTCTATATATATAAGTAACGAAAATATATAATGCATATATTTAAGTAACGAAAATCTCAGTAATCCCTCTCTAATTTCGACCATGTCTCTCAAACTATCCCTCGCCACCCTCTATGTCCCCTTATATAAGCTTATATAGTGGAGACACGGTGAAGTAATGGATAGCGGCTTGGATTGAGGAATCGGAGAGCCGAGTTCGAATTCCAGTCGAATCCATTACACCCTTGGGAAAGGTGTGAATCCTCTTTCTTCTCCCTCCAGCTATGGGTAAATAGCAGGACAGACTGGGTTCTACAGCCTTGGATGGCAACTGGTCTAGGAGAAGGAAAACTCTGAATTCAAACCTGCTCTTAGAGGAGGGTGAATGGAGTCTCTCTGAGCCTTGGTTGGCAATCCATTTAGTGTTGGTGTCACGATAAAAACACCCTTGATAGCCCTAGCGAAGCATCAAGAATTCAGCTATTTGACAAGTTTATGAACTACACCAATCAAAGTATTGGTGAGTTCAATCTCGGCTGAGGCCGCATGATGATATAAGCTTAATATTGCCCTTCAAAGGTGTAAATTATGAATTCATTTTTTCACCTTTGAAAGTGAAGTCGGAAGATCAAGAGAAAAGTAAAATCTCTGGTGAAATAAATTATAACGATGGAACCTTAAAGTGGTCTGTTTTTTTTATTTAGATTAAATCATATATATATATATATATATATATATATATATATATATATATATATATATATATATATATATATATATCGAATGTAATGAGAAAGAAAATAATATAAATTCTAACGTTTACAACATTAGTTCAAAAGAGGCCTCAATACCAAGAGTAGAGCAATAATTATTTATTATAATTTTTACATACGGATAAAAACAAGTTAATCATTAGAAAGATGCATTCCTGTTTTGATGCAGCTGAATCTTGACTGGTGAAAACCAAAAATGATTATTTAAGTTTTAGTTATTTGTTGAAACATGACTGCAATTGTGTAGCGATCCTTACTTGTTTT